AAACAATTTGATTTCCAACTGCCCAATCTTTCTGCTCCGAACTTCCCCATCCTGACGAACAGCAACCACTGTCCACCCAGTTGCTGAAGCCAAAACCCAGGAATCATCACCAATCCCTCCTTTTCTGATTCCATATTAATATAGCAGCAAGTCTGGTCAGCCCTTCATCCAAAATCTACTCTAATCCACCACTGTAGCCCAAGCTCTACCACCATAGTTATCCCGCCACATGGCTCCCTCTGACAGTCTCCTAAATGTCTCTCTGCCTCCACTCTCAGTCCCTACAACCCATTCTCCACACTGTTGTAGCACCAGCCATCTTCTTAAAGTAAAAACTGTATCCTGTCATTCCCCTGAATAAACCCAAATGCCTTCCCTTTTGTTCCTAAGACTAAAACCCACACTCGTACCAACCGTGGCCTTTAAGATGCTACTACTACGCATGTCCTGGCCCCTACCTATCTCTCTGACCTCACTTCTTCCCGCTTGCTCCCTTGCTCGTTGGACTCCACTCACACCGGCCTTTCTGATCTGCAAAGACACCAAGCTCATTTCTGCTTTAGAGCCTTTGCACCGGTGGTTCCTTCTGCCTAAAATGCTCAATCCTCTGATCCTTGCACAGATAACTCCTATATGTTATTCAAGTCTCCAACCGAAGCTACTTCCTCTGTGTGGCTTTTCCTTACCACCCTCTTCTGACTCAACCCACCCTAGTCATTCAGCAAGGCCTCTGAGATAAGCATGCTCCTTGCCTTGTAGGTAAACCCATCTCTTAAAAATATCAAGATATGGGACATGCAGTAGTTATATATCTGTTAATGTTTCAAATTGACCACAATGTCAAATTCAATTAAACATTTGCTAACCACCTTCTATGAATAAGGCAGTATGGGAAATAACCCATACTCTAGTCTAACCTTCTTAAAGCTTCTCCTACTCGTGTCCTGGTCATAAGGATGCCAGTACTCAAAAGGCACTGCCTGAAATCTGTAAGGATTCTAAGATGTTCTCTCCCAGCCCATCACTATCTTAATTATATTTTCCCCATACATGGTCTATAGGATGTGAAATCCCATATAAGGGCTCACGTGCACGTGTCTTCAGGGTGTTTAACTTGAGTCCTGGGCCTGAGGGTAACTTTGGTACCTCTCCCTCTCACACGCTGTTCACCATCTCTCCTCAACATCCTTGAAATACATGACCTCAACCATCTTTCTAGTACAAGCTGTCCTCATTGTTCACCGAACATTGTTCATGTGTCCCACATGGCCTGATAACAACCTTACTTTTTCTGTGCTTTCTTTCTACCTCCAAAGGGAACAGAGCGTACCCAGGCACAAGTGCATTTAAAGAGAGACAGTTTGAGACTCAGCCTTGAAAAACAGGAACTGATTCTGGTTTGCTTTTTGGCCAAGAGTGAAGACACAGGTACAAGGTGACTGCTCATTACAACTATGGCCATGGGACAGAGAAAAGATTTACCGATGGGGCTCTATTTCTTCATCTATACAATGAGCAAGACAGACAAGATGATCTAGATTGAGGAGATGAAGTCACTCGAGAGACCTTTTCAAACTTAAGAGAGGAACCCCAACCTTAGCCCCATTAGGAGAGGGCTTCGATGATCTCCACCATTTTCTCCACGCAGGGCTCAGCTGACCCACAGCTACTTCAAATTCCTAAGGCACAGGCCTCTCGTTCCAAACAATGAGGATGAATACTCACTTTGGTCCACTCAAGGCCATAACGGAGTAGACTGATAAAACGTCACCACACCAAAACCTCCCCACCAAAACATAACTGGAAGGACTTGCTCAGTTCGGAAGACCATACGGTAGTCGATACTGAACATGTCACAGCCAGGCCTTCAGCAAGCTCTCTACTGTATGTTTCGTTTTCATACTGAACAGCAAAGTCGATCCCACCTACCCCCCAAATCAGAAAGTTATTTTGGAAATGGAAGTATACAACTCTTTCAGAGGAATAGAATTCAGCTAAGAATTCTTAGAGAGCAGCAATATTACAAGGCAAAGGCAGGGGAGCCACTTAAGACACCTATCCCCCTCTCCCAGTGTCTTCAGACCTGGCCACGCAGACCTCAACCATCATTAGGAATATGAAATAGTTGAACGTCAGTTTAGCCTCGCATGGAGAAAATACTGGAGATCATGGACCCATGCAGTCCTGGCTTTGTCATCAAGTCACTCCTGTCCTACCCAGACCCCTCTGCAGAGACATTTTCCCTTTGGGAAGAATGGGAGTGGGCAGACCTCGTTTCTTTCTCACCAGGCTTAGCCCAGCTCACCGATGCGGCAGAGTCAACACTTCCTCCTTTCTATGCCTTTCCCAGAAAATACTGTATACACTCCCATTCTCCCAGCCTGATTAACCTGATTAATGTTTATTCAGGCTTAGTGAACAAGAACCTCAATACATATGCCTCACACAGAGGGTGAAGGAAGAGAGCAAACAAAAAAGTGTTTCTTTGGTGTAGAACTTCAATTACTCACATAAGCTTATGCCTCACCGTAGAATAATATCTTAATAAAGATGCCAGATACACCTTAGCTAAATGATAATTTCAAATCCTGCTTCAAGTACAAATATATTCTAAGTACTAACATACCTGCCATGTGCAAGAACAAAGTAATTTGTATTGTAATATCCCAGGACTGTGAATGTATCAGATTTTCAGTCTGGCAAGGTTAAGGGAGAATTTTTGATGAAGGCTGTGTCTCTCTAAGAGACAAATTCAAAGACACCCCAGGGACTGTAAAATTTTATTTTTGTTCACAAGAATAGATACTATTAACTTTATAAGTAAAGCAAAATATTCTGGCTTGTTTTAAGCAAGTTAGGATGCCTTTTTTTGAGATGTAACTGACATATAACATTATATTAATTTCAGGTATACAAAATAATGATTTGTATATGTTGTGAAATGATCACCACAGACTAGTTAACATCCGTTACCACACATGGCTATACGTTTTTCTTTGATAAGAACTTTAAGAACTACTCTCCTAGCAACTTTCGAATATATAATACATTATTAGCTATAGTCACCAATGCTGTGCATGACATCCCATGACTTACTTACTACCTATAACTGGAAGTTCATACCTTTTGACTCCCCTCACCCATTCCACCCACCCCCCCAGCCCCAGAATGCCTTTCTACACTTGTTTCAGCCACAGAATTAAATATGCCATGTATAGGTTTCATTAAAAAACAAAACAAAACAAATAAACCCAATGTAATAGAGGAAAATGAGTAAGAAATTTTTGGAAATCAGGAGCCGTGGTTTTCAGCCTCAGTTCCAATAATTAACCAGTAAAACTGCCTCAGGCTAATGATGTCACATGGTGAGTTTTAGCCTTATCATCACCATGCCTACCACCACTTCACCTTACAGATAAGGAAATTCATACCATTTCCCAGCCCATTGTGAGATCCAGACCCAATCCTGTCTTTGAAAGTGTTTTATTATCAGCTTTATAGAGTAAACATGAGACAGTGATTCATTCTAGCAGGAACATTTTCCATTGTCCACAATTTAACATGTATCAAGAGCCTTAAAAGGTTCAGACCCGGTGAAACAAAATGGAACATGGGTAATGGGTATATGGAGGTTTGTCATATTATTCTCTTTGCTTCTATTGTATGTTTGAAATTTTCCGTAAGGGTTTTTATTTTTTTAAGTTTTTATAACTAGCTGATTCATTACTTTTTACTCCCCTTTCTTAAGGTGTAGAATGTTTTCATACTGCCATGATTTTTCTGGTTTTCCATTTTTACAACCCAAAGTTGTCTGATGGAGTTTCTCCCAAGAGATTCTTGTCAATCCTTACCCCAATCCTTCTTAAAGGGGCATTGGTGGCTCAGTGGTAGATTTCTTGCCTGCCAATCCTTCTTAAAGGGGTGCCCTAGATCTGCCCCAAAAACAGATCAATAAATCAGGTCTCCTTGGGGAAACAGGAAGAGGGGCTACTTGGGATGTTCAACACAGTGACATAACCTTTTCTGTTGGTCAGGAAGCCTGACGCTCTTCTCTAATACGTGTCACACTGTAGGAGTCTCTGTAGCTGTCCTTTCAAAAGGGTCTAAGTGCAGGCTGGGGTAGTTTCTAGTGTGGGCATTAAAGCATCTGACCCCATCCTTATTCTGCATTTAGAATGTGAGGTTGGAAATCATTTGTCCTCACAGCTCCTGTCTTTTCTCGTCCACTGCTGCTAGATCAAAGCCATTCTGATTCTTATTCCATTTGTACGTCTCCTCCCTCTCCCTCCTTCTTTAAAAGCTTTTAAAAATCGTATAACTTTCATTCTAAAATTTTACAGTGATATGCTGTGGGTTGGCTCTCTCTTCATTCCTTTTGCTGGTCAATCAGCATGTCCTTTTAATCTGAAAACTCACATCCTTTAGCTCTGGAAGATTTTCTTCCATTATTTCTTTCATCAGTTCCTTCCATCAGTCTTTTCTGTTCTCTCAGGGACTCTTATCAGACAGATGCTGAAACTTTGCGAGTAAACCTCTATGTCTTGTATCATTCTTCCACATTTTCAGTATTTTTGCATTTTTGTTCTACTTTCCAACCACTTGGTTTCCTTTTTGTACTTTCCAAGATTTCCTCAACCTCATCTTTCAACTTTACTCTTCAATTTCATCTCACCAAATCAGATTTTAACTCCCAAGAGCTCTAATTATCCAAATGTTCTCTTTTCACAGCATCCTGGTCTTGTTTAGTAGATGTTACACCTCCATGAACTCCTAGAGAACGTTAAGAGTTTCTTCCACACTATTTTTCTTCATTTAATTCACATACTTGGTTCACTATGTGTTCTATTTATATGCCTATGAGATCAGTCCACATGTGTGATCCTGCCCAACCAGGAAGTAGGAAACCTATACCATGTGCAAATAGGCAATAATAAATTACTTTTTGAAAATGACTAAAACAAGGAACCTACGTAAGTGCACAAGAAGGTAAGCCAGCTTACCTTCATAGAGTCAGAGTATAAAATATATTCCCTGAGAACAGGTAGAAAGTCTTCTGTCATGTCATCTGTCAGCTCTTCCAAGGCCGTTGAGCAGTTGCCAATGCAAGCTGACACACCCTCCAGGGGCTCAGTCAGCTCCCCCTCTAATGCACTCCACGTGGAGTACACAGGCCCATATTCTCGCAGCTCTACAAGGTACTCTAAAGGGAGAAGAGAAACTAAGTAAGACTTGGTGGGTAATTAAGACAATCACTGGTATTACTGACTCAGTAACAACTGTAGCCAAGAGCTCGCTACAGTAAGATGTTATTTCCTTGGCCATTCACTCACCAAAGCATGCTCTCTTTTAAACAAAACACAACATTGTTTACAGTTTTTAAAAATCTCTAGGGCGCCTGGGTGGCTCAGTCATTGGGCGTCTGCCTTCAGCTCAGGTCATGATCCCAGGACACTGGGATCGAGCCCCACATCGGGCTCCCTGCTCAGCGGGAAGCCTGCTTCTCTCCCTCCCTCTCCCCCTGCTTGTGTTCCCTCTCTCGCTGTGTCTCTGTCAAAAAAAATAAATAAAATCTTTAAAAAATAATAAAAATAAATAAAAATCTCTATAAACCTATATTATAGCTAACATCATAACATCACCTGACTTCACCCCCTAGTAGGAATGTCATGCTTCTGGATAATGGGGACCATAATGCCTTCTGGCGGAAGTGGTAGGAGCTACATCCACCACATATCTTCAAAAATAACCACTCACCTACTCATACAGTGAGGCAGTATTTTAACAGCAGTGGGGGCAGACTTTCACATAGGTTTAGGGGGATCTTTTTAAGGGAAAGAAAAATAATAGGATTTTAGGAAATATTTTGTTACAGATGTGGTCTTACATATGCAGAATCACTCTCATTCAGAGGTCACCTCAAAACTGTGGTCCCATCGGAATTTATTCCACATGCTCCTTAGATGTGGACGGTACTGAAAGCTACCTCTAGCACCTGCAGGTGCCACATAATACCATCAGTGGATAGAGGAGAATGAAAGTACAGGGAAAAAGGGCAAATGTTGATTTATTTCCCCTCAAAAAAAAAAAAATCTAGCCCATCATTCATCACCAGGATTGTTTTTTTTAAAAGATTTTATTTATTTATTTGACACAGAGAGAGAGAGAGAGAGAGAGCGCGCGCATGCACAAGCAGGGGGAGCTGCAGGCAGAGGCAGAGGGAGAAGCAGGCTCCCCGTGGAGCAGGGAGCCTGATGCGGGGCTTGATCCCAGCACCCTGAGATCATGACCTGAGCCGAAGATAGATGCTTAACTGACTGAGCCACCCAGGTGTCCCGTCACCAGGATGCCTGCCATTACAAAAAAAGGTTTTTGCCATTTTTTAGTAACCAATGGATGGCAACTACTGGAGAATCCTTTTTGGTGTGTTTCATGTCTTGTGCCAGCATGATCATTAACGTTGTTCCGGTTTCTCTGGCCTACACGTGTAAGAAGACAAAAGGCCCGAATATTCTGGGCTATAGAAAATCAAGTGGCCACAAGAGGGGTGGGGAGGGAGTGGTGGCAACAACCCGGAAGGTTCCAGAAAGGTCTCATAACTCCCCAGGTCAGGAAGAGTGGGTCTGAAATGAAGCAGGGGTGGGGCAGGTGAGTCAATTTCAAGTTGAGGGCTCATTAGGATCACAACTTTGGCATACACAGGTCTCTATGCTGTCCTTTTGAACCATCTTTCTGCCAGAAAGGTACCAAAGTTTGTTTTTTAAATTATAGTTCCTATGAATGAAAGGAAGTTGAGTCAATGTCTTCACTTTTTAAAGCTAAAGAGAGAGAGAAGTGGAAAGAAACTCCTCGGGGCTGAGGAGTGACTGTATGCTATGGGGAAAGCAAACACAAGGCTGAGAAGCAGGGCAAAGGAGGGAGCACAAAATTATACTCTGCTCACGACGACCCCCTCCCCTCCTTCTATTTATTTTTTAGTTTTGTAAGCGTGGCCTCGTTTCTCCAGTTTGATTCTGCTCAGCACCTGTGAATGTCATTTCTGTGCACATGCTCCCTGGGCGTGATCAATATCTGCACAAAGGGCTCACCTATTTCTTCCTTAATGATCCTCTGGGCTATTCGGTCAATGGTTCCCAGTTTGAGCGCAAATGTATCTAAGTAGTCGCCTACAGCTGCAAACTCAAGAGGTCGACTCCTCAGCTTGTAGCCTCCAGTGACGTGCTTGACAGACTCGCCCACTCTGGTCAGCAGCGCCATCCCTTGCTTCTTATAGGCATTCAGGTCCTAAGGATGACACATAAACAAACAAACTCAAGGGGCTCCATCACTCCCACAGCCAGGCCTCGGTAAACCCAACCCCTTTAGGTGCTTTCTTCTTGGAAGTGGAAGACTCCGAGAAAAGGGAGCTGAGTTAGAGGACTGACCACGTACACAACAGTCCTCTCTCCTTGCCATCAGAAACACCAAGCGCGCACACCTGAGCCCTTTCACCAGAGCCAGACTCCTACCTTTCTGATCGGGCTCACTCACCTGAGTGTGCTCTCCTTTAAACTCAACGCTTTTTCTAACATGATGTTTTAAAGTCTGACCAAGAAAAAAAAAAGTCCCTTTCTCTCCTATAAAATATCCTAAGTTATCTTTAGGAGGAAAATTCTAGAGCTGAAATTCATTCTGTTCATTTATTTATATCCCAAGCAAAGTGATATAAAGAAAGGAGGGAGAAGAGGACAGGAAGTAGGAAACAGTGACAGAAAAAGCAGTGCAAGAACACCCAAGCCAAGGAGAGATGCTGTAAACAACCAAACACTTTATCCTGAACGTCTTGGTCAGGGCATACACAGGAAATATGCTGAGCTACATGATCCATTGTATCTAAATTTAAAATGCATATCAGTCTGCCAGGTCAAATGAACTTCCTCCTGTCATCCAACTCTGGGAGGAATCTACAGCACCTTCAGGTTGTTCGACGTCACCTCCTTTAATGGTCCTTTCAAAACTGGTTTTACAGAAGATCGGGTGTCTGCGCCTTATATCCACCCTCAACACAAACAGAATAAGAATTCCTGGTCCGAGGAGGGCATGTCCACAGAGATATAAGGGAACACAGCACAAGGCCACTGCTTTCTGGTCACCTTGTCTGGTTTGGGGATGGAGCAGAGAACAGGGAATCACACTGAACGCAGACGTCCAGCAGCCCCCTCCCATTTCACCGCCACAGTCACAGGCTCCGGTCTCCACAAGTGTCTGCAGGGGAAACTGCTCCTGATTTCACTTCCTTCTTCTTTAGGCAGCCAAGTCCTTCACTTGCGCTCTGGATTCCACTCTTTCCTAGCTACACCTCGCTGACCAGCAAGGGCCCCACCCATCAACCATTCCCTCTCCTGTCTGTACCTTCAACTTCTCACCCTTCGGTGCATAATAGACACCCAGGGCTCGCCCATCTTCAAAACAGCGGCAATTTCCTCCAGCTCCCCTCCTCCATTTCTCTTCTTCCTTCCAAAGTCAGGCTACCTGGGAGAATGTTCCAAAGATTCCATCTCCTCTTCTAGCCTCAGGTACCCTAGATAAGAAAACGTCCCCGTAGACACCTGGCTTTCACAAGACAGTAATGGAAGCCTTGCCATTCTTGGCTCTGCTTGCAGATTCAGTACTCTTTGGAGCAGGCGCTAGAGCCCAATGGGCTCGCTGGCCTGCAGAAGCTCTATTCCAAGTAGAGGCTTAGAAGAGAAGCCCCAGTTAGCCAAGTCAATATACTGCATGAGGTTATTGGGTAGTGTCTCTCTGACTGCTGCACCCATTCTGCCAAAGATAAAAACACTGATCTGAACACGGGCGATACTGAGCATCCCCCCACCGCTCCCAGCATTACTGGCTTCTTCTCAAAGACACTCCTGGTTTGTGGTTAAGATCAGGTTATCACGAAGAAGAGGAATACTTCTGCCTTCACTGTGTCAGACCGTGTCAAGGCCTCACCTAAGAACAAGACCAAGTTATTCAAGGGTGTCAGAAGATGGGGAACACGGGGAGGGGGAGATGGGGAGCTCCGGTGGGATCACACAGCACACAGTATAGTACCGTGTTTCAGTTTCACGAGACGAGAAATTTCTGAGGATTAGTTGTGAATGGATTTAATGCTACTGAAATGTACATCTTAAAATGGTTAGGATGGTAAATTGTGTATTTTGCCATAATCCAAAGGAAAAAAAAAGAACAAGATGGGGTTATTTAGTACATTCAGTTCAGCAAGTAAAACTGAACTAGGCTAGGATTTGTTCTGTGTTAGAGTCAACACCCCAGCACTCACTCATGGGAAGTTGGATTGTGGTTAAGACAGTGAAGGACTTTTTTTGTTTGTTTGTTTAATCATTCATCTGGCCCACAGATAGATGCCCCCCCCACACACACACATCTTTTCTCTTTAATCTCCACACAGATTCCTAATGACCAAGGGTCCACGTGTTCTCCCGTGTCTGTCTGCTCAGTAAGGAGGACCAAGACTGGGGCCTGCCAGGTCAACAACCCGAACCGTGCGTGAGGCAGTGAGTTGCAATGTTGGAGAATCGGATGGAATTTTACTCTGTGTAAGAACCGTATCTGAGGATCTGTTACCAGGAAATACTTATTTTGAAACAGAACACGAGTTTGATGTGGGGAGAAATGGGCCTTTAGGAAAAAAGAGATAAATGGGAAGGTCATCAATGGGGCTAAAAAAATGCCAATGGTGGTTTAAAAAAAAGAAAATACTAAAGGACTTGGCCAGCTGGTTTCCATCACCTGGAGAACAGCACCCTCTCTAAAATCTTTAACATCAGCTGATATTATCTGCAAATATTTCTCAATTTTGCCATTTTGAAAAAGAAAACTGGGAAGTCCCTGAGCTTCAACACCCTTGCCAACAAGGAACAAAGCACCTATGGCCCGAGGATGGGAATGTGACCCATGGAGGTAAAGAGATGTGGCTACAGGGAGCTGGCATGAGAATCTGGGCCTGAGATCCCATTTCTGCAAACATTTACGGCAGAGCGCCTCAGAATTCCCACCAGTTCTGCCAAAAGGGAAGTGCACACAGAAGCCAGGGCATGACCAACCTGGGTGTGGACACACAGAACCCAGCAACTGTGTGGGACCCAAACGTTTCTCTGGCAAATCCTTGGGAAAATGCCCACCCAATGGGAACGTGGCTGTGGGCAAGTAACACTCAACTCGTCTTGGTCGGGCAGTCAGATACAGAGGGGAAGTCTGGCCTCCGGAGCCATAAAGACCCAATCTCAAATCCTAGTAATGCTACTTGAACACGTACTGACTCCTTGAACTTCAGTTTCCCCATCTGTAAAATGAGGGTGGCTCCTGTGATGGGTTCCTGTGAAGAGCATCTTTACCAAACATTCACTAGATGTTCTTACGCTCTGTTCCTTCAGCCCACTCTTGGTAAGAGTGGTCTCACCCAGTAATATGCCAAGAAGTGTTTAAGGAAATGCTTATCCCTCCTTTCGGCAAGTGAAAATACTCTAACTCCCTCTGCTGCTGCTGCAAAGGGGTGTTTCTCCCAAATTCTAACATGGAAACCCTGCTGAGGTAAATGGACACCAAAAAAAAAATAGACCAATTTGATGACATCCACTACTGTGGGCCATTCACAAAGGTGGTTTGTGAGAGATCAAAGCAGCTTCTGAGAAAGAGCCTGAAGGATACTAATTTAGGGGAAGAACATGAAAAATTCTGTTCTTACCTTAGCAGTAAGGAAAACATTAAAGTGTTCATTGAAAGAGAGCACAGGATGATCTGTAATTCTTTTTAGGAATTTATCCAAAGCTTTTCTTCTGGTCTCCACAAACTCTTCTGAAAAACGATCTACAACACCTTTCACCACAAACTTCTCAGGAAGCGGCTATGAAGACAGGAAGAAAAATATTCAGAGTAATTGATAAGATAGCGGAAAGAAAAACCACAGGCTAGCAAATAATTCTGTCCAAGAACACACAGATGGAGTAAATCACGGCTACCCTTCTCAGTCTTATAACCCAAGAAGTAAAATGCTAGAGACTAGTCCTTGGAATACAGAAAACAGTCAGTCAATAGGTATCCAGTAAATCCAATATTGCTCTCTTTGGCAGCACATACGCTAAAATTGGAACAGTACAAGGATTAGCATGACTGGCACAAGGACGACGGTAAATCCAAGAGTCTAGCTATCTGTACATTGCGTAATGCACAGGTGCTATAATGAGAAAGTCAGGGCCAGAAAGACAGTCTAAGGAAAGAAGGCAGACAAGATCAACCACACAAAAATTGATTTAAATAGATTCACATTCTGCTCCCAGTTCAAGGAGCAGAAGAACTTGGTGAATGGAGAAATAAGTACATTGGGCAAACCCATGTATCTAAAAAATACCTCTTCCAAGCCAATCTTTTGTGTAGGTTTACACTCAAAAGTTCTTAAAAATGTAATTTCCTTTGCTCCTCTTACTCAAACAAATGTCTCTGTAATATTTGCTTTGAGCCAATACTGCGGGCATTTTAAAACTACCTGGTTACTAAGGGATCTTTGAGCTTTGAAGTATTTCCATAGTAGCTTTGATTAAATGCTTGATTAAAAGGCCCTCCCCATTACTACCATGAGAGAGAGAGAGAGAGAGAATCTGCTAGTGTGCAATTTGAAAATGTTTGGGTTATGAAATATTAAAAAACATTTACATTAAAAATTGGACAAACAATTGGTAGATATTTTTTCAAAGATCTACAAATGGCCAACAAGCGCGTGAAGAGATATACAAATGCAAACCACGGTGAGATATGACTTCAAACCCACGAGGATGGTCAGAATAAGGGAGGAAAGAACGAAACAAAAGCAAAACAAAGAACAGAACAGGTACTGGTGAGGATGGAACCAGATTCAAGTCCACACCCTCCTTCAGCCCCATATTCTGACAATAAAGAGGTCTATTTCTTTTCTTTTCTTTTTTTTTTTTTTGAAGATTTTTATTTATTTATTTGCAAGAGAGAGAGCGTAGGAGCAGGGGCAGAGGCAGACGTGGGGCTTGATCCCGGGACCCCAGGATCATGACCTGAGCCGAAGGTAGGCGCTTAACCAACTGAGCCACCCAGGCGCCCCAGTTTATTTCCTTTAAATTACAAACCTTCAAGTGCATGCACGAGCACACAAAAACAGACACAGGACTTCACCAATCCGAAGAAGTGGAATCCTAAGGTATTTGGAGTGGAGAAATCAAGAAGTGATCCCAACTTTGAGCCTTTTCAAAGAGGGAGCCTGGCACCATCAACAGCCCTAGGATGAAACACTTGGAAGAGCTTTGGAAAGGCAGTATGTTTTCCTTTTCTCCAGAATAGAGACCGTGGCTCCATGCCTCCAGGGTTCATCCTCCCCCTCGGCCAAGCTGTCTGACTTCTGTCAAGTTCTACCATCTCCTGGTACCTCAGTTTCTTCTCCGTTTGTAAAAAAAAAAAAAAAAAAAAAGATAACAATAATGCCAGCCTCTCAGGGTTGTTGCGAGGATTAAAATTCGCTACTAGGCTGAATGTGCTCCACACAATTCCTGCCGCAGAGGAAGCAGCAACAAAAGTTTGGTGGGGGGGAGGGGTCTTTGCTGAGGAGGGGCAGCGGCTTCGGGAACTACTAATCTTCCGGGACAGCCATGTCCAGTTACATCTTGAAATGGTGGCCGTGTGCAGGCAGAAGAGGCTAAGAACTGACAGGTTTCTTTTTACCAGATCGGAAGTTCTAGAGGGCACGGCGGAAAGGCACAGAAATGAAGAAAGAGAGGGTAGTAGAGTGAGGAATAAAATTACAGAGCGGCATGGAGAGAACACGTCCAACTTAGACGCCCGGTAGAGCTTATGCCTGAGGAGAATACTAGAGACGGGGTACTGGGTGAGATGCATAGGGCCATCCAGCCCAATGTTCCCGCCCAGTCAAAAGCACCAGGGAATCTGTCTTAATAGGGTATGGTTGTTCTTTAAGATAACTTCTTTGTTCTGATCAGTTCTTCTCCCATTCCCTTAGGCAGCCATTCTCCTTAAACCCTACACTCAACCCCCAACCTTTCATGCTAAGCACAATACCATCTCTCTGACACAGGAACCAGGTGTAAGGGCATCACATAAACATTCCCTAACCATTCTGCTTCCTCCACAGAAACCCATCTCCCCTCCATTTCTCAGGTCCCTGTGGACAACATACCCAACCCCCAACACACCACAAAGGTAACTCTTCTGTGTCTTTGACCCACTAGTTCACTATCATGCCTGTGTTGTCATTAACTAATTATACCTTCTTTTCCCTGTACCTTCAACATTTCCTCCTCACCTGGCTCTGTTCCTGAGTCTACAAAAATATAGTTGCTTCTCTTTCTACCCAAAAATAGTAAACCCAACTACCCCTTGACCTTACATCTTCTTCTCCACTCTCCTGTGGGGCTCATTCAACCTTTCTGAAAGAATCATTTATCTTAACTTCCACTCCCTCCAGCCCCCAATATTCCTCCACCCCAAAACAAAGTTGTCTTTGGTTCTGCCTTCAATCCTGCATTTCTCCGCCTCATCCCTAACCCAATGTAGACCACTCTTTTAAAGATGATCAAAGGCTTTCTAATGACCAAATCCAGTGGATATTTACCTGCTCTTATTTCATGAGTCCTGGTGAGCATGCTCTGGTTTGCTTATGCTGAATAGGACTTGGGAGGAAAGACTAATGAGAAAATAAGTGGCTAGGTGTGCCTCATTTAACGTAACAGATAATCTCCTGAAATAATTCATTCTTCAGGTTTAGTACATTGAACTTTATGTTTAATGAATCAGGGAAGCTTGCTCTTTAAAGGAACCCCAGAGTGAATCCTTCTGCAAACAGAATTTCCTTCTAAGCATTATTATTCCCAAATGTACATGGCTTCGGAAATTTGTTTCTTCCTCTTTCGAGCCTTAAAGGGGACTTAAAGCCCACTCTCGGCGTCACCTTTATAATTACCTTCTGGTTCCTTTATGCATAGGAATCTGGGTTGCTGATGAAATCAAGTGCCTCTTTGGACTGTAACTGAGCTCAGCACAGCTCCAAGCACATGGTAGATGTCACACACATGCCAGCTATTTTTATCACCTTGTAAACACAGAGAACAGAAGGCAGAAGGGGAGTGGACCAAAGGGTGGAATTTCCATACATCTTTGAGGCCAAAATGTTTTTTAAAAACCCTCTGGGATACATACCATTTCACACTCACTAGGATGGCTCTAAGATTAAAAAAAAAGAAAAAAAAAGGAAGTATGCGGAGAAATTGGAACCCTCATACATGGTTGATGAGAATATAAAATGGTACAGTCTCTGTGGAAAACAGCTTGACGGCTCCTCAAAATATTAAGTGTAAGATTAGCATAGGATCCAGAATTCCATTCCTTGGTACGCAGCCCAAATAACTGAAAGCAAGTGTTCAAACAAAAACTCGTACAATCAATGTGCAAGTAGCATTATTTGTAATAGTTGGGTTGGGGAAAAGGGGAATGAGAAGTGACTGCTTCATGGGTATGGTACTCTTCTGGGGGGGATGAAAATATTCTGGAATTACACAGTGGTGGTGACCGTAAAACATCATGAATGCACCAAAAGCCATGGAATTGTACACTTCTTAAAATGGTGAATTTTATGTTATTCAAATTTTACCTCAATTTAAAAAAAAAAAAAAGCTGTGGTGACGGAAGCAAATGTCAGAGAGGAGAGAAGACACTGTGCTTTGAAGATGGCGGAAGGGGCCATGAGCCAAAGGATGTGGGAGCCTCTAGAAGCTGGAAAAGTCAAGGAACCAACTCCCCCCTGGAGCTTCTACGAGGAATGTAGCCCTGCCACCTAGATAGTAATCCACTGAGACCAATTCTGGACTTTTGACCTCCAGAATATAAGGTGATAAACTTCTGTTGTTCAAATCGCTTTCTAAAAAAAAAAAAAAAAAGCTTACCTGGTATGGGGGTGAGGGAGTAGATAAGGGTAGAGATGAAACAAGATGGGCCGTTGGGGATAAATGCTGAAACTGGGCAGTGAGTACATGAGGGGGTTCATTGCACTGAATCGCTCTACTTTAGTATTTCTGACATTTTCCATAATGAAAACATTTTTTAAAAACGACACATGCATGTATATGTTGGAACTTTCAAAAAATCCTATTTGTGGGGCGCACGGGTGGCTCAGTCAGTTAAGCGTCTGCCTTCGGCTCAGGTCATGATCCTGGAGTCCCAGTATGGAGCCCCATGTCGGCTCCCTGCTCAGTGGGGAGTCTGCTTCTCCTTCTCCCTCTACCCCTCCCCACTTGTGTTCTCTCTCTCTTGTTCACTCTCTTTCAAATGAATAAAATTTTTTAAAAATGTATTTTAAAAAATCCTATTTGCAAAGCATTACAATAACCCATTAAATATTTCAAGGTTTAACCTTATAAAATATTTACATTTTTATAGCACTTGATACTTTGGTCAAGCATTTTCAGATGTATTATATTTCATAGTAGTTTATAAGAAAGTACCTTATAATCCGTGAAACAAAAGCATACTTCCTGTAGGTTGTCATGGAAAGCTACTATTTCATAGTGCGAAATCTGCACAAAGATTGCAATTGCTCAGTCTTGAAATGATCCAACTTCCTCTTTTTTTTTTTTAAAGATTTTATTTATTTGACAGAGAGGGCACAAGCAGAGGGAGAGAGAGGGAGAAGCAGGCTCCCCGCTGAGCAGGGAGCCCGATGAGGGACTCGATCCCAGGACCCTGGGATCATGACCCAGGCCGAAGGCAGCCGCCTAACCAAGTGAGCCACCCAGGCGTCCCCCAACTCCCTCTTGTCAGCATTTAAATTGCTTCTTCAACAAATATTAATTTGCAATTAATTGCAAATTGCAA